ATCGCTAGTGTAGTTTACATACTCCATTGGGATTTGATAACCCCTTATACTACAACTGCTTTACTGTGGACTTGCGGTATTTTTTTATTTGGATAAAACCTGAACCCTATCAGAGAGTGAGGTGATCAACGTAGAGGTCCGAGGAAGTTCCTATAGTGTGAACTATGAGGAGTTGCATCCAATCGATGATGAAATTAATGATAATGAAATTATTGCTAATGTTGGTGCCACTACTTTTTACGTAGGCAATGAACAACATGATAAAAGAATGGAGGATGATGTTACTAGGGAGGATGATGTTACTAGAGAAGATGATGTTGCTAGAGAGGATGAGGTTAGTAGAGAAAATGATGATGTTAGTAGAGTGTATATGTCGGGTAAGCATGATTCATATGGTGATCTTCCACATGATGTAGAAGATAGTCAGTTTGAGTCATGGTAATACGGTTAGGGTAAACTTGGTGTGAAAGTTTCATATTACACCGCTTTGAGAGGGAAAAACCAAGCTGTTAATGACGTATATGGTAGTCGAGAAGAAATTTCTAATTTGCTGCATAGTTATTTGTACATGTTAGGGAAGGTCAATCCTTGTACAATAAGTAGAGTAAAAGTGGATGGAAACAAATTTCAGTACTTATTCATAGCTTTCGGAGCCAGCATTGAAGGGTTTCAAGTGATGAGGAAAGTGATAACAGTGCATGCAACATTTCTGAAGAATGGATATGGGGGTGTCCTTATTTTTGCCACAGCTCAATATCCTAATCTTCACCATTATCCCATTGCATATGGTGTACTTGATGGCGAGAATGATGCTAGTTGGGGCTGGTTTTTCGAAATGCTGAAAAGTGGTTGTACCAGACTCTTCTGAATCAGTATTTGTAAGTGATATAAATTAAGCCCCTAAGCGCACATCATGGGTGTTGCATATGGCATCGTCCCAAAAAGTGAAAGACCATGTTTACTACGCCAACAAAGAGGTAGTTGCAAAACAATTCAGGGAGTGCTGTATGATTTACACCGAGTTTGAGTTCTTAAGGATTTATGGCTAATATAGGCGAATGTATCCCTCTGCAGCCAAATATTTGGATGAAACAACTCATGTGACAAAATGGGCACGGTGTTTTTTTCCAGGAGAAAAATACAACATATACACAAGCAATTGTGTTGAGTCTTTGAATAGCGTGTTTAAAGAGGCTATGAAGTACTCGTTATTAAATTTGATTGATGCCATTGTTTCAAATATATCTGAGTGGTTTAATGAGCATAAGAAGGACAATGTTTCTGGGTCAGACGAGCATAAACTGGTGCCATTCATGGAGAATCTTGTGCACAAGACATGTAAGGATGCATCAACCTTAACCACGATGGTGCTAAAAAATTATGAACTTGAGTACAATGTGATTGGAAGTGATGGCAAACAATATTTGGTGTCGTTGATTAAGAAAAGTTGCAGTTGCAGATGTTTTGATATTGATAAATATCCTTGTGTGCACAGAGCAGCTGCTCTCATTGACATTTGGAAGAGTGGAGATAGAGAACGGGATATCCTTTTCCATAATGTATGCTCAAAGTATTACTGGGTCGGACTGTGGGTTTTGGCATATTACAAGACCATTTAGTTAGTCCCTGATAAGTCTGTGTGGACTGTCCCAGATTACATAAAAGAATTGCAGGTTATAGCTCCAACATACATCTCAACGGAAGGAAGAAAGCAATTAAGAAGGTTTCTACGAGCTGGAGAACGGCGTCCAAAGACGAAAAATAAAAGGGTCCCTAGGCGAAGGTTGGAATATTGATTGTTCGGCAATAGTAGTACTGTTTGAGTTGTCTATTTGGTAATATTGTACCACTTTGTTGTTTTATTGTGTATTATTGGTGTATTCATGTTTGTATTTGTGCTCCAGATGGTGCAGGTATCGAATTTTTGCATTTTGGATAATACTAGTATTAATGGGGGAAAACGGCCAATTAATACCCGTACTATTGGAAGTGTAGCGATTTAATACCTCCTCCACTATTTTGGTGTGCCTTTTAGTATCCGCACTCTATAAAGTTTGTAAATACGTACCTGCACTAATATCACTCGGCCGATAGGTACCTTGACCAACATTCTGTTAGTCAACGTTGCTTATTCTGTGAACCAGGCGAACCAAATTGACTCGGACCAAGCTGACTCAACGTGAACAGGGATGACTTAGCATTTTTTTTATGTTTCTCTACCAAACCAAAACGACGTCGTTTGGTTTAGATGATAAATCAAAAAAAAAAAGCTAACTCGTCTTTTTATCGATTGCTCTAAAGAAAAGCAATAGATTTGGAGAAGAATTGAATTAGGGTTCAAAGACAAGAGAAGAGAATGGCGACTTCTTCTTTTTCTAATCCATTGAGAAACTCCAAGGGTCAGCGTTTGATTTTCCCTCTTTTGCCTTCATCAACTACTGATATATCATGGTTTTTTTTTGTTTTTGACCATGATATAAGTCTTGTTTATAGAGTCTTTTTGGTATTTTTCGAGTCCTATAGAGTCTTTGCAGGTCTAGGTACAAATGGAGCATAATTGTGGATTCTGGAACCTTTTGGAGCTATACTGAAGTTGATGCTGAAAGGACCAAGTCAGAGGGCATTAAGGAGCAGGGTGTCAATCGACACCCACCATGTGGTGTCGATCGACACCGGTCGTGGTCGCGAAGAAGCATAAAAACTCATTGGAAGAAATTGCAACTTGGCCCAGAAGTTTCCCATTATTTATAATTTTGTCCCAATTCGTGTTTAGACTTGTATTTAGGTTTTATAAGCCAATGTTAGGCTATTGATTCTGATTATCATTGAGACTAAGAGAGAGATTAGATTGAGAGCTTTTGGGGAGACAAATCCATACTCTGTAGAGAAGAATTTCGAACCCCTTCATCTTTTACTCTATTTTCTTAATGCAATATTATTCAGTCATGATTTGTGTTTCACTTGCTATGTCTGACTAATCTGCTAGTTAGGTTTTGGGTTATTCCAAGGTTGATAATGAATTGTTAGAACTACAAAACTGGAAGGATAAATCACTTGGTTCTTCATCTAGATTGATTTAACACTGGTTTTAAGATTGATCACCTAGAAATCAGATCTTAGGATGTTTAATGGATGTGGAAACATTGTTAATCACCAGAACTATCTTAGATGAGCAAAATAACTAGTTGCAAAGGAATTTGGATTAGTGATTTTGCGAACATATCAAACCTGGTCTATAATGCATGTTTAGGTTGTTAGAATTTGCAAAGGAATTTGGAATTCTGGAATCTGATCATAGTTAATCTCTGCGATGGAAGTTGATTGGTTTTACATTAGTGTTTCGAGTTCTCGAAAGGTTTTAAATAATATTCCTTTCAGTTTGTAGTCTGCGATTTATGTCAACCTGCGAATTTCCCATTGCCTAGCGTCTTGTCTTCTGATTTTAAGAACCTACAATCCGCCCCTGACATCATTGCTTTCATTGTTATTTTATTTTCATTTCATTATCGATTGCTTAGCTTTATTTGAATCTAAAATCTGTTGAGTGATAGCCTTAAGTCCTTGTGGGTTCGATCCCTAAGTACTACAGTGATCTCTTAATTTGAGAGAGTAGCTCTAAGAGTTAATTTGAGCATATCAACTACGTCAGATATGTTGACCACATCTGGGTCTCCTTCCAGTCCTACTAATCGATTCCTTCCTCCATTTGGGTATCCTTATCCTGCCGATTTGTTTCAAAGTTCGCCAACTTTAAGCTCAAATTCGAGGACTTTAGGAGTGAATGGGAGTAGATGTATCAGCAGTGAATCCGGAAGAGAGTTGATAAAGTATGATGTTCTAATTGTCGGTTTATCTGCTGCTATAAGATTGAAACAACCATGTCAGGAGAAGAAGACCGATCTATCAGTTTGGTCCGAGTCAGTTTGGTTTGCCAGGTTCACAGAATAAGCAACGTTGACTAACAGAATGTTGGTCAATATACCTATCGGCCGAGTGATATTAGTGCAGGTACGTATTTGCAAACTTTATAGAGTGCAGGTACTAAAAGACACACCAAAATAGTGGGAGAATTAAAATGCTACACTTCCAATAGTGCGGGTATTAATTGGCCGTTTTCCCGTATTAATTGTATTATTGGCACTTATAGTATTACTAGCATTATTAGTATTACTGGAGTGTAGAATTTGGAAATTGAAATTGAGAAAAAATAAGAAACGACATAAAAATCATCAACTTAAAAACTCTTAGATCATAATAAAATGGAAAGTAAATAATAAAATTTTCAGATTGGTGAAACATACTGTTGATTTCACAACAAACACCATTTATAGTATAAGGAAGACTTTGTTAATGTTAACCACTAATGATGTGAAAGTGTCAAAATGTAAGTATTTACAGAATTTAGAATATGAATGTGTTGTAAATGATAATTAATATTGTAAACGCTAATGTACAACTACAAAAACATATGTGCGAATATGGTTTAACTACATATATGAGAAAATCCCAAAAGTATAACTATTAGGACATTTGTACTACTAGACACTTATAGACAACTACGTTCCTATGGTTAGTATTTTCAATACGATAATAAATTAAATTTAAAGCATTCATTGGACGGAACCCACTATTGAAATACAGAAAATCCCAAAAACTAACGACCATTCACTTCATTATTTTTATCGTTGTTTCGCGACAGAGGAGAGAAAAGAGAGGAGCAAGAAAGAGAATCACAGAGGAAACGAGCATATCTAGAGCAGATCTCGGGTTTTCAATTTGGAGAAAGGTAAATTCGGCGTTGCTCTTCATTGTAAATCTAAATGTGGATTGTTTCGATTTCAATTTTTAGTGTTTGAATCTGGGTTTTTTTGGAGATTGTTTTGTTTGTTTATATGATTAATTTAGGGCTCAATTCAAATTTGAAATTTTCCTGGGTTTGTTTGTGTGTATATGATAATTCACGGTTTAAATCCCAAATCTTTTTTGCCATAGTGCTGAATATGGATGAGTTGAGCGATGGTGAAAAGAAAAGGATGAAGGAGGAGTTCGACATGCTTTTTGCCATACCTGATGTTGAATTTGGCATTCCGAAGAGATGTGCATGTGGTGGCGGAATCACTAAGGAGATTTCTCAAACAAAAGCTGACACAGGGAGGAGATACTTCACATGCAAACTGCGTTAGGTGAGATCTGTCACGAGAATTGATTTGGAAATTTAGTGACATTACTAGTTTCTAAAGAACATTCTTGGAGCCAATGTATATGTCTGTATGTGCAGAAGAAAGGTGGCTACCACATTCATAAATGGTGGGATGCAGCTGTTAAAGAGGAGCTAACTATCTTATGGACTGAGAGTCACGAGCAGGCAGGGAAGATTCAAATGTTTTGAAGCATTCAGCTTAACTTGGAGACAATGCGTGTGCAGGTGGAAAAGCTCATTGACAAGGTTGCAAAGCTGGAGGAAAAACTTCGTGCAGCTGGGTCTTAACTTATGTTTTTAGACGAACCGTGTTAACATTTTCTGTTTCTATTGTAAGACTAGAGCATATGTACTTTTCAAAACCTATCCTATTTGCAGTCTGCTCTTTTTTCCTGATTTTAGATGGATTCAAAAATCGTGTTGTATCAAATCAAAGCACAAGAACTAAATCGAACTAAATCAAATGCAAGACTTGTACCTAATACATCAGAGTTGTACCTAATTATACACCAGAGTTGTACCTAATAATACCCAAGAGTTGTACCTACTAATATATAGTAGTTCAAAGCACAAGTGCTCTACAAAACATCAAAAACCCATAATGGGTAATTAATACAACCATCCAAAAACTAGAAGTTCAAAAACATATCATCCACAACATACATCCTTAGTCCGTCTTCCTTCTTTGTCTCCTCATACCCATTCCTTGTCCCTTCATTGTCCTTTTCCCTGCCGTATAAAGGGAATTCTTGTACTGTGATTGTTTGAGTTTCCTTTTCCCCATTGGGGTCTCGTCATTTCCTATAAGAGGTCCTTCAAGAGGTCCCTCAAGAGGTTCCGGTTCCTCGAGAGGTTCCGGTTTCTCAAGTGGTTCCTCAAAAGCGTCCTCAAAAGCCTCAATAGGGTCACTTGTATCGGCTTCTTTCTCTTCCTCTTCTTTCTCATCTTCTGCTTCTCTCACTTCTTTCTCGTCTTCTGCTTCTCTCACTTCTTTATTTTTTTCTTCTGCTTCTTTCGCTTCCGCTTCTTTCTCTTTTTCTTCTTCTTCTTTCTCTTCCCCTTCCTCTTCTGCTTCTTTCTCTTCTGCTTCTTTCTCTTCTGCTTCTTTCTCTTCTGCTTCTTTCGTTTCCGCTTCTTTCTCTTTCTCTTCTTCTTCTTTCTCTTCCCCTTCCTCTTCTGCTTTTTTCTCTTTTGCTTCTTTCGTTTCCGCTTCTGTCTCTTTCTCTTCTTCTTCTTTCTCTTCTTCTGCTTCTTTCTCTTTAGCTTCATTCTCTTTCGCTTAATTCTTTTTCTCTTCTTCTTTGTCTCCTCCACTTCTCTGGTAACTGAAGTTGCCATTCATGCCAACTTCACGGTTTAGCTCATCTTCCACATTTGTCAATCTTTCTCTCATTTCCTTGAACTTACTTTTCCAAGAACTGTGGATTTTTTTTATATTGTCAACCCACTCTTTCATGATAAGAATCTTAGGATCAACTTCATTAAATCCTCTTTCCATTGCCTTTAGTAATCTCGCTTCAATCTCTTTCAATCGAGTTTCCAGAAATGCATTAGAGGGATCCGGATTAGAGTTATTTTTCTTTTCTTGGGGGGGGGGGGGGGGGGGGGGGGGGGGGGGGGGGGGGGGGGGGTGTCCACTATATTGCCTTCCTCTCCTTAGTTAGACGCTCGTTCCACCTATCAGTAATTTCACCTCCACCAACATTCTCTAACTCTTCATCTACAATTCGTGCCAGAAGAACTTCCTCATACTCGTCTTGTTCCAAAACACACTGAATATTCTGTCAACATACATAAATTCAATATACACCAAAATAAATGACTAAATTCAAAGAAAACAAAGTTTACAAACTAGCCTTAGAAGTTCCAAGTGCATCATATATCTCTTCAAGGGGAAAACCGGTCATACCACTTGCTTTGAACTTCCCCTGCACATTCAAGGACATCCTCTATCACAGTCTTTACATCTTCTTAGATTTCAAACAGACTCAAAAGCCAGTACCTAGATATAGGGTAATAGTACTTCAGAATATACTAAATCATAAGAAGATAAACAATTATACTTATAACCAAGATTTACCTCTAAAGGAATTATGAATCCAGAAATGGAGGTCGTGTCACTCACAAAGTCTTTCATTTTCCTCAGCATGTAATGTATTGCCTCCACAACTTTACCAAATGTCCATTGTCCCCACGGAAAGGATTTACACGCCTCTAAATCATTGACCATTCTGAGTAAGAACCCATCTATGGGCCAATCATACTTGGTCCTTCCTCCAATTACCGTGCACATGACATAAAGTACCGCCATCTTCAAACGATCTCCACAAGCCTTCGTTGTCAGCAGCTTCTTTTTCACATCTTGCACAGTTATCGTCTTTTTATTCTTAAACTGCCTTTTCTGGAAAAGATTACTTCCCATATTCTCATACTGGTTTGGGTATTCATGGCAGTCCAATCTAGATAAGAGTGCTTGCTCTCTAATGGAATAATGGATGGGAACGCCATTAACCACAAACCAAAGTATTTTTCCTCCCTCACTATTCACAGCACCAAGAAGTAGCATCCAAATCCCCATAAGCTTGTGGTTTCGTTCCATATTCATGTGAAAGAAGTGATGAAACTAAGAATGACTTGTAAACCATTTTAACTCGTCATGTGACTGGTCCTCGCCTTTCAGCTCATTTATTACAGTCACTGCATTGTTCAACTCACACCTTGTTTGGATACTTGACAAACTCGGTGTTCCCGAAAAAAAGCTCAGGAGGATGCATATCTTCCATTTCCTCTTCTGAATGCTGAAAATATTTATTCATATACAGAATTAGTTTAGAGTATACTCCAGTAATACTTAGTTAAACTTAAGAATATTAGTTATACCAATTCTCCAACACAATGGCTTCATCCATAATTAAAAATCTCTGTTCAGTTTTCTAACCAATAAAACCTATGAACAATATTCTAATACGAGCCCAACAACAATAAAATACTAACTTTCCTACTTCTCTAAGCAAAATTCAGCGAAAAATGATACTTACCTTTAAAGGAGTGATTCCTTTTTAAGACATAACTACATCTTCAGGATTCATACTTATATTCTCTCCATTCTTTTCGTTGACCGGATCTCCTGGAGTTGGTTTGTACAGAATCATTTCTGTACAGATAGCTTTGGTAGGAATTGATTCTGGGGTTCCTTCTCGACGGGTCCTTGCCGTTTCTTCATCTACTTTTCTTAAGCGTAAACTCTTTCTTATCCCCTTTTTAATTTCGACTTCAAATTCTTCGTCAGAGGCGGCGGCTCTTATCTGGAACAAATAACACCAATACTGATTCACAATTCATCCTCTATTCTTTATTTTGTAGCTTAATTGAAAGACAAACACATGCAGATAATCCGTGAGCGGTAGGAATACCTTCAACAACGCAAGACGGAGAAAGGAGAATGGGGAATAATGATGATTCAAGATACCAGATCGTCCTCTCGTACTAATCGATTGTTCGCCACAATATTCTCCTCTCGGAATCACTTGTGGTGAACATAGAGCAAGAAGGAACAGTGAAAATCAAAATTTAGGGAAGAAAAGAAGGAAGTGAATCGAAGGTTTCAAGAGTTGGGTATTTTTTTTACTATGGAGTCGGGTGGAAAAGCTCTCGGGTGGAATCTGATCCAGATTGAAATGGATCTTCACTGATTGGATCAGTAATATCCCAATATATTGAAGGGCTTTAAGGACTTTAGCTAATTTTACGATTATAAAAAGATTGAAAAAGAAATAGCAAACATAACGGGAGTATTTAAGGTTCTTTTCAACAATTAAGGGATTCTATCCATACCCGGCCGGAGAAAATCGTCAAGTACGAGATCTTCGAGCGAGTCGGAGCCAGAGCCTCGTCGTTGTACTCAGAGAGATCTTCAATTACCAGTCTGCGTTCCGGGAGATTGATACACTCTACATCGTCAATGGATTTCCTAATGTCGTTGTTATGCACGAGTATTTCTGGCGAGAGCACCTGAACATTGTGATTGTGCTTGAGTTCCTCAGGATGGATCTCGCGGCGGTGATCAAAGATGCCAAGAGGCGGAAGAATGGATCAGGCGGAGAGAAAGGAGATGGGTTTACGGTGAGGGAGATCAAGAGATGGATGATTCAGATTCTATCCGGTGTTGATGCGTTGTGCGTGCCATAAGGAATCTGATCGTCCACAGAGACCTGAAGCCTGGGAATATGTTGATATCTGATGATGGAGTGCTTAAGCTTGCAGATTTTGGTCAGGTGATTATCATGATACTGATGTAAGTCGTTTCCATTGCTTGATACATACATAAAATTGAAAACCCTCTCGATGGTAAACCACTAAACATTGATTAATTGCTCGATATTTGCTTCTCTAAAATCTGGAAGAGCTAATGCAACAAAGTGGCTATAATTTATCATTTGAATGTAGGATTTTATAAGATGTTGGTTATTGGGAGATGAACAGTTCTTTGGTTTTCCCTTTCTTTTTAACTCATTCTGCCCCTTCTAGTTCCAGTTTCAAAGCTCTATGTGCCTCCGACAAGGAGTGGGCCAGATGAGGAGGATTCTCCGAGAAAGTGGAATTCTTACATAGAAATTTATTCAGATTCAGATTTTGAACCCGTGAATGTAACGCCTACAAGTAGTTGATTTATAATAGAATCCCCCCTGACCCTGGGTTGCCTTTAAGGTATGCAATCAAAAGCTCTCGCAAGTTCAAACACACACAGTTTAGTCAATAAAGACTTTCCTTAGTTCTTAATACTACAAGGCCTAAACAAAAAACTGCAAGTAGTGTTTGTTTTTTGAAGCTCTTGTTTCTGCATTTATAAGTTGCTTTTGATCGTTTCATACTCTTTTTTTTTCTTCTCTCATAACTCTTGTTTTTTTTTTTGGCGTCTTGCTTCTCTAATTGATAATTTACGTGTTTATCTCTGGTATTGCCTCAGGTCAATTACATTTTTCCGTGTCCATGGTTGAGAAATTTTATCTTCCGAGTTCCCTGAATTTGTACTCTGTCGAAATTGTTGTTATGTGTTGTCTCTCTACCTCCCTGGTACAGAAAACGATAACATTTACAACTATAAAGTTGGTGTTAGTCTTTAGCTAGCGAAAGAGTTAGTTTTCTTGCTGCTCAGGCTAATCTTTACCCTATTTTTCATCTGAGGTAACAATGAGAAAAAAAAGAAAGTAAAAGGTCTTATATATCTCCTTCTTCTCAGCTTTGTGGAGAGTGTTGATAAGTGTGTACTGCATGATGATGAGCTGGAATTAGAAGTCTGTTGATGTGGATAGAGAAGAAGAACGATGGCGGTTTGAGAATTGAAGACTGTATATAGTCATATTTACTTTTTTTGTTGCAAGTTATCTTAAAGATTGTTGGATCAGAAATTGCGAGAGAGATTGTTCTCTGAAATTAGGCAATCTTCAAGAGTGTTCTTGAGATTGAAGGCAGTCGATTCGTTATGGAAAGTCTCCTGTATTGGTGTAATTCGTTTGTTGTGAGTAATAATACGTGTTATCCTCTTAAGTGAAGGAAGAGAAGGATGAAGCATATGATTCTTTGTACAACATTGGAAAAAGTAGCAAGATGCAGAATTTTATGACTGGAAACTGGAAAAATGTCGAAAACGCATCACATGTAAACAGAAAATCACAAGGGTTGTAGTTTTATAATAAACCAACAGTCTTAAAATAAACCAACAAAACGCATCAATACTTAATATCTGTGTTATATGTAAAGACATAAGCACAAACTACGCGCGGTTATATACACGCGCCTCTTTGAAAATCTTTTCACGATGACAGAAATAACCTCTGCTATGTGCACAATGCACATCTTTAGAACAGATGCACAACCCCTCCAGCACACAGCCTTCTGTATCAACAGTAACGTGGCCCCTCAAACCCAAAATCTTGTATGTCCACTTGCTGGAAAAAGAAGCCTAGAGGATCAAACGTCCGCTACATCTCCAGGAAAAAAGCGGCGTCCTGGTACTTGTCAATGCTGTTGATGAATGCAACATTTCTTTTTTCCCCCAATGTGGAATCCCATCGTATTTGAGCAAGCTTATATGTTTGATCTCCTCCATGAAGTCTTGGTACATGCGAGTAACTAAAGGGTCTCTGCTTCTGTAATAAGTGAACTCGAATTCCATATCTTCAAATTCGCCTCCCAAGTACGCAAACGAAGGGTGTATGTAGCGGATGAAGATGCCACTATAAAGATCGAGACTGCAGAGGGCCTTTGGCTCGATCTGCACCAGACTCTTGATGTCGTTTATGAAGTAGTTTACGTTCTCAAGAGGTAAGGTGAATGTGGTCTGGTGAATAAATTGGCCTTTGACACGGGAGTCCCATGGACAAGCTGTGGCCAATCTGTCTTTTTGGCGATCCAGACAACCTCCTGGAGACATGAGATCGCTATGGTTTCCATTCATTGGATAGCCATAGTAAGTTGTACCTGTAGTTCAAAATATGAAACATAACTTAATAATCTGATTTCACATATCAGTTATGCAGTTTAAATATACAGAAAATGCATACCATTATTTGTCAAACCATATGATTGAGAAGATAATGAATGAGGAATATCCCGCGCCAATGTGAAAATCCCCTCTGCATTCATTTGCAATTCTATCTCTTCCTCTATTTGTTTATTAGGATAAACAAAACGTATCAGAATTAAGTTACTATAATAATGTAAGAATTATGTGTATCATTTTGTAGTGAGATGTATAGTACAACATAGTGTACCTTCTGATCTTTGCAAAGGCAGTACTTATGACGGTCTGGCTGCGAACAATACGGAATTGTATGAACAATTCCTGGAGATGTTCATTGAAACCTGTTCATCCATCCTTTAAACGATTTTTCCTTGTATTGGGTACCACATTATGTCGGGAAACTTAAACCTCCTTCTGTACTTCTCAACCGTCTCCACAAGATCGCTATCCTTAACGGTTATATAGGTTATTTCTCTTTTGAACATCAACTCTAATTGAGCCATCACCTGCAGGGAAATCAATCACACAATGGTTATCTATCTAAACGAGACTTAAAGATACTGATTATGTATGTACCTTAAAAAATCAAACAAGCCAGTCAATTAGATTAATGTAGCTTTGACACTATATATAAATGTACCTGAGATATGACACCTAAGACACCAAGAGAGACTTTTGCAGCGTCTAACTAGCTAAAATCTTCGCCGTTGAGGATTCTGACGGTGGCATATCCTTCATCGTGATCAGCCAGTGTAACCATTCTCATCTCAGTGACATAGTCATGAAACGCCGGGCCACTGCCAAGTACTACCGTGTGCTCTATTATAGTAACTTGGGAAGCAAGAAGTATATCATGCGGATTGTCTATAAAGTGAAGCTTAGAAACCAAAAGAAGAATATTCTAAATCTCGATATATATTCTTAGCATATTTCCTATATGTGTTTAAGAAAATTTACATTATGTTAATGTTACCACTATATATTTATGTAACTCATTTTCATATCAAACAGAACTCAATAATATATCATGTTCTATTATATTTGATATGATATCAGATCTTTTGATCTTGGTTTTTTAAATTCTGCACTAGATATGATTATGAACGTGGCTAAAGTGGTAGTGAAGAACACGACAACACTAATATTGAAGATGACGACATCGACGTGAAGCTTCTTTAGAAAACTGAGGGGTCACATTTTTTTTATCCTTTTCTTTTTATCTGTCTTTTGCTTTATAATTATAAAAACTAATATGGTTTTATCATCAAAAGTATTTGAGAGATCTTTAAGATAATTTGATTTAATGGTTTTGCCACAATCTATTTATGTATTCCGAGAGTTATTCTTTTGCTTTGAATTTCTCAGAATTTTTTTATATCTTTTGGCTTCTTATATTACAGAATAGTTTGATTTTGGTTTTTGGGATTTTTGTTGGAATACTCATATTTTTAGGTTAATCTTTAGTTTAATTTCTGGACTGTATGAGATATGACAATTATTTGTGGAGTTACTGAAGTTTGTACCCACGGGATGTTATTATTCATTTTCCCATTCAAGACCAAAGACGAGCTGAAGTTCCATCCCTATGAAGATTGAAGTTTACACCTGGAGGAGTCTGTTGAATTGTTTGTCTGTCCTTGATAGGATGTCCACGACTTACGTATTCTGTTTGATGATTTCGCATACCACGTTTGTCGTGCATGTGAGTATTAGAGTAACTTAGGAAGCACAAAGTATATCTTGCGGATGGTTTATGAAAGTGAAGCAAAAAAAATCCGAAAGAAGAATATTCTATATTTCGATATATATGATTAGCATGTTTCCTATATATGTTTAGGAAAGTTTACATTATGTTAGGGTTAACATTATGTTAATGTTACCACTTTATATATGTAACGCATTTTCATATCAAACAGAACTCAATAATATTTTGTATTCTATTATATTTTTTATGGTTCAGAGCTTTAGATCTTGGTTTTTTAAATTCTGCACTAGACATGATTATGAACGTGGCGTAAGTGGCCGCGAAGAAGACGACAACGCTGATGCTGATGATGACGACATCGACGTGAAGCTTTTTTTTTAAATTGAGGGGTCGCATTTTTTTTTACTTTTCTTTTTATCTTTCTTTTGGTTTATAATTATAAAATCTTATATGGTTTTATCATCAAAAGTATTTGAGAGATATTTATGATCATTTGATTTAATCGTTTTGCGGTTTTCACAAACTATTTATGTATTCAGAGAGTCATCCTTTTGCTTAGAATTTCTCAGAATATTTTATATCTTTTGGCTTTTTCTATTACGGAGAAGTTTGATTTTCGTTTTAGATAGGATATGTTTTAGTCTAATTTCTGAACTGTCCGAAATAGAACAATTATTTGTGGAATTACGGAAGTTTGCACTCACGAGATGTTATTATTCTTTTTCTCATTCAAGACTAAAGACGAGCTGAAGTTCTATCCCTATGAAGATTGAAGTTTACACCTAGAGGTGTCTGTTGACTTGATTGTCGGTCCTCGACAAGATGTCCACGACTTACGTGTTCTGCTTGATGATTTCGCATACCACGTTTGTCATGCGTGGAAGTATTAGAGTAACTTGGGAAGCAAGAAGTATATCTTGCGGACGATCTATGAAGTGAAGTCCGTAAACCCAAAAAAAGAATATTCTAGTTCTCGATATATATTATAAACTCATTTCTTTTATGTGTTTAGGAAATTTTATATTATGTTAGGGTTAACATTATGTTAATGTTACTACTATATATATGTAATTCATTTTCATATCAAACATAATTCAATAATATATCATATTTTATTATATTAGAATATTCTTTTTCGGGTTTATGGACTTCACTTTATATACGGTATACAAATATAATATCTTGCTTACTATAATATGCTCCCGTCGAAATCATACCACCAACGGTTAGCCCCCACCAATGTGGGGCCATCCTCAATGCAAGTCTAGCTTTTGCGGCATCCTCTATCAGTTGGCGTAGTGACACGCCACTCTCGACAGTGATGGTTATTGCTTCTTTGCCAATCCCCAAGGTGTTGTTTAGATACTCTGTGCTGATAAATTTAACGCTCTCTCTGTCCACACGGGCCAATTTTGTCATGCTATGTGAGAACCGCGTCACAACATGCATCTTCTGTCTCAGCTGTGTTCCTTCAAATACGACGTATAGTAACTCGTTCTTCGTGCCCGGGTATACCACCATAGATGACCTACAAGTGGCTCGGTCTGAGAAAGCTCCATAGGAGTTGACAATCGTGCAGTTTCTTCTCTTTGATCTACAGATAATGGGGCTTACGAGTGGGCTAGAGTACGTTAAATTGGTGAATTCCTATCAATTTATCTGTTACCCTAACAGATAAATTGGTGAATTCCTATACAAAAAACTTTTATATTTGTCTCAATGTCTCAAATTTTAAACATTTTCTTATTTTTATATTTTTTTATATTTACTTATATTTTTCTTAGATTTTGTTTATGTTTTGCTCATTTTTTGTGTGTGCGCTGCATGTATTGACAGATTATTTTTTTTTAGGAGAGGGAATGAGAGCAAAATTTTCTGATTTTGGATCGCTACAGATAGATAGTACCAGATGGAGAAGACTCGATAGGGATCCACGCAACCAATTAAGAAAAGGTTTCAACTTCTCATTTCTCAACAAGATCACCAAAAGAAACACCCCCTACGCTCTTTCGCAAATTCAAAACTCATTTTCAAAACTACATTCCCATATTCATCCTTAATTAGATAATCTCACTATAAGGTATCTTCCTCACACTTCACAATCTCCTTCACAATTTTTTTTTTGAAAGAATGTAAAATTATATTTAATCAAATCCCTTGTTACATAGTGTTCCATTGTTTCTGACTTTAGATAGAAAGCAAAACTAAGAAAAGCTCAAACGCTTGTGCCAAACCAATACGAAAGGCAATACCTTTCCTTCACAATTAAAGATAAAGCCACCAACGACTCACCATCAAGTTTCGAGAAGCTTCTCCACGACGTTGCTACCATATTTATGAAACGAAAGCTCCACGTAGCAACGTTGTAAACCGAGAAATCTACTCTTTTTTTTTAATCTTCAATTTACCAACTACAATCCTAACTATTATTTGAGAAGCGTGTTTACTATAAAAATCATTTCAAAAAATTTTTGTGCAAAACAATGCCAACTCATAAATATGACATGACAAATTTTTTAAATCTTAACTATTATTTGAGAAACAGGTTTACTAAAAAAAATCGTATGTGTCAATATTTTAAAAAAAGTTAGTGCAAAACAATGTCACCACAAAAATGTGATATGACAAATTTTTTAAAATAAACAAAATATTTTGATTAGTTAAATTAAAATTAAATAAATCTCAATTTTAAATAAGAAAAAAACAGTTTATGTTATATATGAATGAATTCTCATTATATAGCAAGAATTCGAAATTATAAATAGAACAAAAAAATAAACATATAGAAAAATAAACTATAAGTATCATCTTAGCTAACTTTTTATTATAATATTGTATATATAAATAAAAAATATAAGTAAAAGTAAAAATGAATCATTAGGATATTGGTTTTCTGTAAGAATCTCAGGCTATACTTTTGGTTTAAAGCATCTTCAACCCATCTTTATATTAAATGTTCTAACTTAGAGGAAAAAGAAAGGTTGTTATTTTTCCAATTATAGAAGAAAAAATAACAATTTTTTTTTCCTGTAAAATAAAAATAGGTTGGAGAGAAGTTCACTTATATTTTAGAGGAAAAATATAGAAAAATATATTGGAGATGCTCTTAATGTTTAATATATTATTAGATGTAAAGAAAAAAAAGTATGAGTCAAAGAAGACAAAAAAATAAATAAGAATAAATTTGATCGATTTTAAGTTTTTATTTGAAATATTTAAAAATCTTATCTTACACAATTATTTCATACATATATTTTTACTAACATATTAAAATATTATTTCATGAATCAAGTTGTGTATATGTTGTGATCTATTATATTTTATATTAACAAGTATGTTAAAGTTAGGAACAGATCAACTCTTAATTTATAATCGCAATCAAATATTAATAATCTTATTTTACACCTTAAATCATACACATATAAGTTTAGATCTGATTGGTTTAAACGATTCGGTTACAGAGAGTTTGTGGAAGTGAGTGTTTGCGGATTCTCAAAAAAATGACGAAGAGATGAGCGGAGAGTTACCGGAGAATTTTTTAAAATATGATTTCACAAATTTTATAATAAATTTTTATTATATTTTTATTGAGAAACTATATATCATCAAACGCTAAAAAAATAAGAAACTTTGATTAAATACAAAACGATAGAAATGGTTTTCATGATTGTTGTTAAACGCTAATAATTGTATCGTGTAAAAACATAATGTTTGCGAAAAATACCAGAAAAAAAACTTACCAACACCTAAATATTACAATTCACTTATTTCTAACTCATACATACATGGATAAATATACTTATTATTTTTTATAAAAAATAATTAACCATACATTATAAAAATATATATTATAAAACATATAATGCACTTTGTTATTTTTTTTAACACATAAAAGCCATACTTCGATTAACTTACAAATATGCATATAGATATTAATATTAATTGTAAAAAAGTCAAACTTGCATGCAGACTTGTCGTGCATATATTTTGCTAACCTTGATTACACTCTAATTTTTATTTTAGTTGTTAGATGATTTATATTTTTTTTTAAATCTGTATATGTCATTAGAGCGGTGAGGTGGTTGGTATGCACGAATGTGCAGACCAACCATCTACCTGCTCTTAGGATAAATAAGTATGGTAAAATTCATTTTGGTTTAATTAGCAATAGGTCTAGGAAATATGTATACTTAAAATATATATATTGGCAAAATTATATTATGTAAAGAGAAAAAGAAAGTATTATATAGATAAAATTCAAACTATATTAATAAAATTTTAATTATGATTTAATATAAATTTTACATTTGCAATTATATCTTACTGTAAACGCTGTGAAAAATAAAAAGTTTTCAAAATACACAAAACGATATGAAATGTTTGTGTGATTTTTGTTGAACACTAAAATTGTATATGTATAAAAACATAACATTTACATATGTATAAGAAAATTAATTAATACTTAAATATTGCAACTAATTATCTCTACAACAAAAATTGTACTTGCACATGCGTGCGGACCAAAAACATAATTTAAAAAAATTATTGTTGGGACTAATTTTACCGAATCCGAAAGAGGACCCGACACGTGGATATTAGACTGCCCTAAACACTGATACACGCCACACTAGCTTGGCCGAAACACTCACGTGTACTGTTTTGGGGGCAGTTGGCGAGCTTCCCCAAACATGCAAGAATCATCACCACTACCTGCTTCCCTGGCGCGCCGAATGGAGAAGACAGGACAAGGAGATCGCAAGCATAAAATGAGAAATATCACCACACAAGAAGGGGACTCGGCGAATCTAAGACTCCTCTAAAGGAGGAGGTAACCGACTGGACCCGAGTCCGTCAGCCCCATCAAGCAGCATGATCACGAGAGAACTCCTCGTTCCCCCGGGTGAATGCCTTCCATATAAGTCATTCTCAACCCGGAACCTTGTCTTCATACTTGCTACATCTTCTCCCTATTGTGTATAACATCCTTCAAAACACATATATACAGATAGATGTCTCGATCTCCGGATGAGACTTTTCACCCCTAACCCGTAGAAACTCCCCTCATGAGTACTTGTTCCCGGTAGGATGTTCATTGACTTGGGTGTCGGAGAACCTTCGGGAGGGAACCCTTCTTTCGGTCCTCTCGGAGGCCTGATTGACCTCTCGTGTAGTGTTTGCAGAATCGTAAACGACGACCAACCTGTTCCCAGGACTTAAGCAGGCTTCCGTCTCGAGACGATTTGTCGCCTTTCTCCCCAGAGGACGAGACTCGGAAACTCAGCTCCATCTCCCGACAAATCACACACCCCCGGGTGGCATCCCGAATTTACTCCCGAACAGTTTGCGCTAAAAGGAGGGGGGTCACCGGCGAGCGTTCCACGAAGGAAGCGGTCTACACGGGCCAACTATGCGAAAAAACGTAGAAGGCCTGCAAGCCATGGTTATACTCAACAAGACTTGAGACTCTGAGGTCATCACGCGTACTGGCTCCAAAACCGAGAAGTCAAGTTCACGAAACGAAGCAAAGTACGAAAGAGCGTAAATGACTGAAGATATGCTAAACAAACTGATATGCATTAAAGGAAAGGCAAACAGGCCAAAAAGGGCCACCGATCCAGGTTTGAGGTTACAATTTACAGGGACAAAAGTACCCGAAGCAAAATATCTTAATTTAAAAACTCGGCAGACGTGAAGATCCTGCCGGTGAAAAAAGGAAAGCGCCTCCAGCGCCTTCTTCCGCGCCCATCTGGCCCATGCTGCCCGTTCCATCGACGTTCCTCCTTGAGCTCTCACCTGAGCATGTAGATCTTGGCTTGGCTGCTCGTGAAGGCCTCGGCCACCATCAATGCCAGGTCTGTCTTGGCTCCGAGAGAGAACCCTCGGTAAACCATAAGGGTTTGGCGAAGCGTCTGTACTTCCGAGCTACGGGCCTCCAGATCTCGTTGGCTATCCGCTAGTGCCAAAGAAAGGCGCTCCATCTCCGCGCTTAGATCCTCCCTCCCCCCCCCTCGAGCGGAGGTCTGAGCCTCAGTGAGTTGGTCTCGGGTTAGCAAGAGTTCGGCTTGGAGCTCACTAGTCCTGTCAGCAAGGCCATGGTCACGATGCTCCGTCGCATGAAGTTCATACTCTAGCATCTCGAGTGAGCGTTGACTCTGCTAAGACGAAGACACAAGTAAGACGACAACCAAGGAACAAAATAGGAAGGAATTTAAAGAAGAAACTTACCACGTCCAGCGGGAACTTGCTGAAGCATAGTTAATAAGTGAGATCTGTAGGACTAGCGTCGGGTCAGAAGCAGAAGAGTCAAAATCCTTACTTGGGACGTCCGGCATCGTGCGGGATGGGAGGACGAGTAAGCTTTCCCCAATGCTTGATAGTAAAAACAGGAAGTCGAACGACCTAAACTGCTTATTTTAAAATTTTAATTAATAATTTTTATCTTTATTTTTTAATGAAATATATAATATTTTATATTTATTATTTTATTATTAATACATAATTAATTATATTCAAATAAAACATATTCAATACTATATTAATTATAATTGAACATATAAAATATTTTAAATATATCATTAGATTAATGCATGGCATTTGGATTAAAATCTTTTATTCCGAAATTACTACAATGTGCATAAAGTTTGATAAGGAAGTATAAAGAGAATAATTAATTGGTGGGATTTATGATTTTTTATAGAATTCTATTCTGGTGGGAAAAAAAGAATTGTGTAATGTAAATGAAACTTACTGTTTAAGAGATCTTGTAAATAGACAAGCTCATATGGACTCACACAAACCACGGTGCTTACACAGTCAAGAGTGGTCAGTGGCTCGCCTCTAACTTCCCTTTACCTCCGCCTGCACCTCCGTCACAGCGGGAACAAGCTCAGATTGCTTTGAAAAACAGAGTATAGGGCCTCAAGACTCTTCCAAAGATCCGGGTTTTCTTCTGGAGAGTGGTTTTTGGAGCCTTAGGTGTGGCAGAACGTCTCCGTAAGAGAGGTATAGACATGGACGAGGAATGCAAGTTGTGTAACCAAGGAGCAGAAACCATCAATCATGTGTTGTTTAAATGTGATATGGCTACTCAAATCATCTCCTCAGCGGAGATAACCCTGCCCCCACATGGATTTTCTGACTCGCTAGTGGAGAACCTATCATTTATGCTGGATCGTATTGATGACCCTGCAGTTCCAGATAAACTCAGCACTTCCATCCCATGGATCATGTGGAGCATATGGAAAAACAGGAATGCCATTATCCTTGCTGGTACCCAAGAGACAGTGGAATCTATAGTCCTTCGAAACATAGCAGAAGCCACCATTTGGTCTAATCTCAACAAGGAGGAACTGACACTAGCTTCAAATAGGATCGCGAGGCAGAAATTATCACAGCATTGGCAACCTCCTATCTCTGGTACCATTAAATGCAATGTTCATGCGAATTGGCGCAACATGTATCTTCACAGTGGAGGGTCTTGGATTGCCTGGGATCACACTGGTAACGTCGTTCTCCATGCTAGAGAGGCTTTCACTCGGTCCCCCAATCGGCTAGTAGCAGAATTGCAATGCATTTTATGGTCTCTCCAAAGCATCGCGGACCTTCGCATAGCGGAGGTGATTATCTCTTCTGACTCTTAGTCGACGATTGACGCAATCTCCAAACCACTGGATTGGCCCCGATATCGTGGTCTCACATCACTTATCCGGACCATCAGCTTGAACTTCCAACGATGCTGTTTTGAGTTCGATAGCCCTAAAACAAACTTCTTAGCTCGGGAAATAGCGAAGAGTATTTCACGCTACGGCCTATTTCAGTCATACCACGCGTCAGGCGGACCTGTGTGGCTACACGATCGCATCAGATACGAAGCCAATGTGAACAATTGATTTATCCGTCCCTTAGGATATGTTGTTCTTTTTAGCTCTTTAGGAAGCCTTCGGCTCTTCCTTCTGTTTTCTTTACAAACTCTGTTTTTTCAATCCAATAATACCCAGACGACAAAAAAAAAAAAAAAAAAATCTTGTAAATGAGGTTAAAACAAAATGGTCATGAACCAAGTCATGATGATAGTGGTAAGTGTACTAGAAAACGAAAATTGAACTTACACAAACAAACAGTAAACAGGGAAAAAAATTTGGTCATTAATATTTAGATGAACGTCGACTTGTTAAGTTTTCAAAATAGCGAATTTGGTGTGTTGCAACTGGTCTGGTTGCAACTTAATTTGTTGAAAAACTATAAATCAACTGAATCCAATGACCTGACAGTCTGATGTATGTTTTGTGGTTGCAGATTGTGGTTATTGAGGTTCTCCAATCTCATAATCTGAGGAAGTTAGTAAGAAGAGTTTCTTTCTTATATAATGTATATAGTAGATTTTAGTGAAACTAGAACAGATAATCTGTTTGATCTCGACATAAACCAAAACGAAATTACAACAGATATAAATTAAATATTGGTTTGTAGGTTATGTTTTATTTGTTGGATAACACATAAAAGGGTGGAAAGGTAGATAGAGACTCATAGAGAGAGCATCTATAAAGACTTTAATAACTTATTTTCACTTCGCCAACTTGATTATGCATAGACTGCTGCTGCTGATGCTGTGTAATCATTGGGATTGAAGGTGATGCACAATATTTCTTTAAAGTCTCCATCAAACAAAGTTACCGTAACCTTATCATACCTCTTCACATATTAAAAAAAAAAAAAATGAGAGAGTTTCTCCAATTTTTTAATATTATAATTTCTTCTAGGCAAAAAGTGTACGTAGACTTACCACGAGATCGCTTTGCAGAGGAACTTTAGTCATAGATAAATTAGTTATGATGCCAGGTTCTATCGGTAATGCATTCACCACTTCATTGAGCTCGTACATTTCTGCATCCCAGGCTTGTTCACCTTCGCCAATTATAAGGTTCACGATCACACTTCCTTTATCGAGACTTTTGTCTGTATGTATACGCACAAAAAGATTATAAATATAAATATATTTTTATATATAAATTGAAAAATTTAAAAAAATATATTCAAATATTGAGAGTTGAAGTTTGGATGGAGATGATAAGAAGAAGAAAATTACGTACTTGCGTTAAGAAATACGTATATTGTAGTGGTTGTGTCATCGTCCTTTGGGGTGGTCGCCAGACCAATTACTTTACCGAAATCATATCCAGTATTATCTACAATAGTATCAGAGATTAAGTTATGGCATGTCAACATGATATTTCTTTAAAGAAACCAATCAAAATGTACAAATACTATTTTGTATATATGCCAAATGTACAAATACTATGTTGTATATATGTCATATATACTATGTTGTATATATGTTGTATATATGTCAAATACTATGTTGTATATATGTCAAATAATTAGGACTAGCAAATAATTAATAAAAATATGTGTGTTCTATGTTTATGTTACCGTATTTACGCACTAACTGTGATGAAGACATAAATTTACATAAAAGAAATTTAAGATTGATACTTACTGTTACAGTATTTGAACTTGTAGGCATACAAAGTGGGTAAGAAGAAGAGTGATGCGAGGAGACAAAGCAGAGCCTGAACATGAGATATCGCCATGGACATTCGAAGCTCGTTGATCTCCAAAAAGGAAAATATATTTATATATACTCAACAATAATGATAACTCCCTAAATTAGTGGATCAGGCCATAAGTGATCTTATATATAAATCTACCAACGTTATAAGCGAGAATCTTTAAATATTAGCGCCAACTTTTATAAGCGAGAATCTTAATTTAAATATTAGTGCCAACGTCAAAGCGACGATCTTTGAATATAATAGTTTATTTGTCCCCGGCTTGCTTTTCTATACAGACCTTTTAATAGTTTATAGATTATGATAACTTTCTGAATTAGTGGATGACAACACAATTGTAACAAAGTGAGAATCTTTATTACTTTATATATGTAACTAGTTGTTGATTCGCGCTTCGCGCGAGAATTTTATTTGTTGTTAAATTTTAGTTGTAATTTATTGTTTGATTTCATTATTTGGTTTCGTGTTGTTTAAATATGAAATATTTTTTCTTTTATCTGCTATTTTAATTTTTAAAATGTTGTATGTTTTGAGTTTTGACCTTCAATAAATCATTATTTTTTGCTATCATAAGTGTTTTACCAATCATTTTTAGGCTATTTATATTTCATATTTTTTGCTTATTATTATATTCTTTTTTTTACAAAAATTCTTATTATATTTATTTTGTGTGTATATATTTTATTTTCTATCTACTTTATGTATATATATATTATTTAATATTTAGTTATCCATATATATATTCTTTTGTTGTGATGTTATGTTTATCTTATTTTTATACATACTTTTGTGTTAAGGATCTATCTACGTTTCTTTTAGTTTGACATTAGCTTGATTATTTTTAATTTGTTTTTTCTCTTTTCTAACCTAATGTCACTATGATCTTATTGTTTGATGGTTTTTTTAATGTGCATCTGTTTTTATGGACGATTTCTTGCTCACAGCTTGCAAATATTATTCATTTAAAATTATAAATCTACTCTATTAAATTATTTTGTTATTAGTTTGTTTTTTGGGGTTTTAAAAACTTGTATTTCAAAATTTCATATTTTAGACGCTGATATATATATATATATATATATATTGAAGTGTTTTGGTTAAATTTGTGTTTAGTTGGATTATTTATCAAAGTTTTTCTTACCTCAATTAAGTGTACATATGATTTGTTAATAAAATTTGGTTATTAAATTTTTTTCATTTTTTACAGTTGGATTAGATTGTAATTTTTTTCTTTTTTTCTTTACTAATTTTTTTGTCATAACTTTGAATTGATTTAAAAACTGCATGTGATTTTTGTAGGTTGTCAAATAGTTTTGATTGTTGCATTTTACATGATTCAGGAGAATTCTTCCTCTTCTCTTTTATATATATGGTACTGTAATTTGTGTAAGTTGCGCTTGTGCTATTGGTCAAATGTCAGATGCGCTTATGGGATTTTAGGTTTTGTGGACTAAATTTAATAGTGAAATTTGATTTTAAATTATATAGTTTGTGTTAGTGAAATATTTTAAGTATGAGATAGATGGTTAAGTGGCAAAATAAAAAGTGAAAAAATAACTTTATATATTTGGTAGGCGTAATTGTATTGTTTCTTTCTCTCTTTTCTCACCAAATGTTGCTGTAAGTTCTATTGTTTGATGTGGTTCTACTTGCGACATCGGTTTTGAGAGATGATTCTTGTTCCCGGTTTTCAAATGTTATTTATTTAAATTTATTTAATTTATTCTATTAAATTATCTACTTATTTTGAGTTGTGGATACTTTTATTTCAAAGTTTCATACTATGGTCGTTGATATATATTTGAGTCTGTTTTGGTTAAATTTGTGGTATATTAGATTATCTATCAAAGTTTTCCCCACCTTAATTGTGATACCTATCATCAATTAATAGTTTTTGGTTATTGTTTTTAATTGTTGTGGTTGAGTTTGATAAAAAGTTGTCTTTTTATTGTTTTCTAATTTTATTTGTCATAACAAAAACTGATGTATAAACTGAATGTTATTATGTAGGTTGTTATTGCTGTAATTTGTTTCATCATGAAGTTTATAATTATATAAGAAATTTATAGTATATTATTTGATGTAATTTTGGGCTTTTGCTATTGGTCAAATACTGTTGGTTGCATGGAATTTAAGTTTAATGGACTGAGTTTAGTAGTAAAATTTAAATTTAAGTTATATAGTGTTTGTTATTAAATATTGGATGCTGAGGTGGAAGCTGATGTGGCAGCCTAAATGTAATTGTTATACCCCTAATTTAATAGCCTAAAATGTCACTATTAACACAGAATGTTCGTTGGGCTTTAAATCTACCGTCAATTAGTTGGGCGTTTTTAAAGCCCAGTCCAATACGTACCAGTGATAGATATATCAACAGAAACAATATGTACGTAATACAAATGCATGTTGATGTTGTAGATGGTGTTACAAAATGAATAGTAATGAATAATGATGTTTTATGTATTAGTTCGTTTTGTTAGAGCGACTCTCTTCTTTTCGACGTGGATGCAAATTGAAACCGAATTTGTTCCATAATTGCTTGCTGCTAGTAGAGATAACGTTTTAGATATCTAAAAACTATACGTTAATTTGGCAATTTATACGTGCGGGACAAAGACAAGAAAAAATCAAACTCGAAGGAAGCCCTAAACATCCAAACTTTGAGAGAGATATCGAATATTTTTTAAGAAAAACTAAACTACTATGACACTTTGCCAACAACAAAAATCAAGTCCCTAATTATATTCTTATGAAACAATCGGATCCTTAACTGTCTTTTGACTCTGACTCGATGAGATCGAGCTGCAATGTTATTCCTTGAGAACCACGCAACAGATTAAGGAAAGGCTTCAACTTCTCATTTCTCAACAAGATCACCAAAACGAACACCCCTACGTACGCTCTTTCGAAAATTCAAAAGTCGTTTTCAAAACTTTATACCTATAATTAATCATCCTTAATTAGACAATCTCACGATAACGTATCTTCATCACACTTCATAATCTCCTTCACAATTAAAGATAAAGCCACCAACGACTCACCACCATCGAGATTCGAAAAGCTTCTCGACAACGTTGCTTCCATATGTATGAAACGAAAGCTCCAAATACGAAAAACAAAATGACATCCCGATTCACATAAACCAAAACAAAATTACAACAGATAGAAATTAAATATCGGTTTATAGGTTATGTTTTATTTGTTGGACAACATATAAAATGGTGGAAATTAAAGGTAGATAAACACTCATAGGAACACGTATTTTCACTTCGCCAACTTGATTATGCAGAGACTGCTGCTGCTGATGCTGTGTAATCATAAGGATTGAAGTTGATGCACATTTTTTCTTTAAAGTCTCCATCAAACAAAGTTACAGTAACCTTATCATACCTCTTCACAGATTAAAAAATAAAAAAGAGAGTTAACTTCAATTTATATATATCATAATTTCTTCTAAGCAAAAAGTGTAAGTAGACTTACCACGAGATCGCTTTGCAAAGGAACTTTAGTCAGATATAAAATAGTTGTGATGTCAGGTTCTATCGGTAATACATGTACCACTTCATTGAGCTCGTACATAACTGTATCCCAGGCTTGTTCACCTTCGCCAATCATAAGGTTCACGATTACACTTCCTTTGTCGAGATTTTTGTCTGTATACGCACAAAAATATTATAGATATAAATATATGTAATGTCAATATATAAATTGAACAGTGAGACAAAAAAAAAATATTCAAAAATTGAGAGTTGAAACTTGGATGGAGATGACAAGAAGAATAAAATTACGTACTTGCGTTAAGAAATACGTATATCGTAGTGGTTGTGTCATCGTCCTTTGAGGTGGCCACCACACCAGTTACTTTACCGAAATCATATCCTGTATTATCTACAGTAGTAACAAAGATTAAGTCAATGCATGTCAACATGATCTTTCTTTATATATTAATTAGGAGTAGTTAGGTGTTTTATTTATAGATATGGAGCAAACAACAATCTATAGATAGATCAGAGAATAAGAATATTTGATTCTATGGTATGTTATCATGTGAACACCGACTGTGAGGAAGACATAAATTTACATGATAGAAATTTAAGATTCATACAAATCGATACTTACTGTTGCAGTATTCGAACTTGAGGGCGTACAAAGTGGGTAAGAAGAAGAGTGATGCGAGGAGAAAAAGCAGAGGCTGAACATATCGCCATGGATCTTCGAAGCTCGTTGATCTCCAAAGAGGAAAAAATATTAATTATATATCCTCAAATGATAACTCTTTCTAAGTTAGTGGATCAGGCCATAATTGATCTTTTATATTAATCTTCCAACGTTATAAGCGAGAATATTTAAATATTAGCGCCAACTTATAAGCGAGAATCTTCATATAAATATTAGTGCTAACGTTATAATCGATAATCTTTAATATTTGCGTCAACGTCGTTGCACACCAAATTGATTGCATCTCAGTATGCATTAGTATTCATAGTTTGACACTTCTTTGATAACTCGCAAGAAGCAAAAGATTTAGTTTCTTTTTTTTTTTGAATGCTGAATTTTCCTCAAAGCTTCATCTTTTTACAGTTCATTTCTTAAAAGCTCTTGACCCTTTTCAGTAAGTTTGCTGTTCTTAACACCAGTTGGCTAGATTAGGTCGACAAAAATTAGGTTTTGTTTGACCATTAATAGGTTCGTTTTTCTTCAATAATTAATGTATCGATTAATCTGTTTTTACAAAGGTATCTTGATGAGAGACAAACAGTTGACCGGATAGGCAGACAAAAAAAAAATTACAATCTCTCAGAAAATATCATATACTATATAGTACGTAAGAAAGAAAGTTGGTAGAGAGTTGTTCATATAGGGGTGGGCAAACGGGAATATAGGACGGGATTTTGCGGGAATGGGAACAGAACGGGATTATGGGAATCAAAATAATTGTCCCATATGTGTTCCATTCAAAATTTGGGACGGGACGGGAATGGGACGAGAATGGGAGGGGATAGGACGGGAATGGGATGAGAATTCCCAAAAAATCTAATAACATGAAAAATTGACAATTGTAAAAAAAAAAATTAAAATTCAATTTATATTCGTCTATTGTTCATTTCCTAAATCCTAATAAATAATAATAATATGTCATATAAGATTATAAATTAACCAAAAAATAAATAAAATCAAACTTAACTTAATTATTAAAATTTAAAAGCTTCAATTTTTTTTTAAAAAAACCAACATAATCCATTAAATAGTAAACAAAAAACCACATATAGTCTATTAGTCATATATAATAAAATAAAAAATAAAATCTAACATAATCCGTTTAAATCTCAGCAGTCAGCATGCATTTAGACTATAACTTATAAGTTAGAACTTTAGAGGTGCAACTTTTAAGTTTTAACTTTCTTTTATATAAAATAATATATTAATATATAATAATGATCATTTTGGTAATATATTTTAAATATCTAATTTATTATTTATATATAATTTGGGATAAATGAGACTTCAGAAATTCCCGTTCCCGTCCCGTCCCGTCCCATTCCCAAATAAAAATCAATATGTTGTACCATATGGGAACGGAAATTTGGGATCGGGACTGGGACGGGATGGGATGGGACGGGATGGGACGGGAATTGTGCCCACCCAATCACTAATAGTTCCATTAGCAAAGATCCAAATGATCTTCTACATCCTTCTTTTTTACTTTTAAATTTCTTTGTATATTTACCTAAGATCCCATGCATGAAAGTAATCTTTACCTATTATATACTTACGTACGTACATAGTGATCATATTTACGTATTGATCCGGAGATTAAACCTTGTGTTTATATTAGATGAGCCTAAAACTATATAATACTAAAATGAAATCTCTACGTAAAATTGATGCTTCAAATACAAAATTGCAATCGCTATCGAAGAGACTAGACTAAATGAATATCGGCCGAAATATGGGTAATTAACTACTCACCTTTTTAAATAGATATCATAATTTCTTATTTTCATATTCTTACTGATATCACATGCTCTTCATCAATAAATGCTAATTTGCTAAAGTGACATAGTTTCGTTTAGTATTTGGATGGTATTGGTACCAATTCAAGTATTTGGTTTCTTTAGTATACTAAAATTTCCAAAAATTATAGGTAGAGATGCTTACATTGGTACAAAAACTTGTCTCGAGTAGTCGGGCTATGAATGTCATCTTTCTGTAAAATTGATTTGTTCTTGTGTTGTTATATATAAACATAAACTAGAACATGATGGTGTGCGTTTTTTCTTGTTTATTGACGTTTTGTTACCAATTTTCCAAAAATTCGTATGAAGCCCAGTGAGTAATTGTTTTTACTAAGTATAGCTATAAATATAGTTAAACAGAAAACTAGCTAGTCATTATATATAACTTTGTGGGACAAGCTTTCTAGTGGCGAATCTAAATCAGTAGCATAGAGATAAGAGACATTTACGAAAATTGCATTTTGGAGAATTTTGTTATAAAATTATACACTTTAAGGAATTAAGGCATTTTGGAGTACTGTTCAGTCATGATTTGACGATTTTGCCCTTATTGATGTATTTTTGCCTTATGTGCTATCCACGCATTCACATCCATCTTTGTCATCTATGTATTCACATATATCCATAACATTTATGTTATCACATCCATCCATAACATACATACATATTTATCCATTTATCTTCGGTGATGGTACGGTAGTGTTGGCGATCCACACATTCACATCTATTTGTATCATCCATGCATTCAGATTCATCCATGTATATACATCCATCCATAACATATGTGTATTTTATACATCTATAATATCCATACACTTCCATCCACCCATTTCTACCATCCATGATTTGCCCATCTCTACCATCTATGTTTTGTCCTTCTCTATCATCCATACTTATCATCCACGAAGATTGATAACAAATTGTTATGGTTGTCCACAAACGCTCATCCACGTGATCTAACGCTTCTGAATATTTGGTATTATATGAAAAAGATAAAATGGTCATTTCGCATGATGAAAATGCATATTCGCTTCTAAATGTCTTAATTTATTATTTATCTTTGTAGAAATACCTTAAAATGTAATTTTCTCTAGAGACAATTGCCACAAGGTTCTTTTTTTTTATTTTTATGTTAATTATATTACTTTAATATATTTTACCGATCACCTGATCCAAATTTGCAATTTTATCTATAATACTCTTCACTTCATAAACAAAAATTAAGTCACGGATTTGACTGCTAGATAAAGGGTTAATTTGCACTTTTTTATAGTAAAAGGTAATGTTGCAAATTTAGATTAGATGATGAGTTAAATTGCAGAAAATCCTATTTTAAAGTAGACCATTAAAAATTAAATTTTATGTCATTATATAATATAAATCTAAATCAAGCACTGCTCACAAATTCTGATTAGGTCGGTTCTTTAGTCTTTGCTATACTAACAGTTTAGGCTCTTTTGGAATGCTTTCGTCGTAGCATTCGTCTTTACCCTATTTGGGTTTCGTTAGGAAGAAAGGAACAATAATTCTAGCAAGTACTATGTCAAAAAACAAAACAAAAAAAAACTCTAGCAAGCGAGACCAATTAAATATTATAGATAAAGTAAACCAAGATACAGTGTGACCTGCTGATTGTTTTGGCCGTGTAAAGCCACATTGATGCCAAAAAAAGACAAAACAACTATCTCAAAAATAAAGTGAGTCAAGCATGTCCTAGTGAGGCCCTCTAGAGGAATCATCTGGGTGAGTAACAAAAATCCAGACCTTTTAGTTTATAATCTCATGAGGAGGGATACTAAAGAGTGAGGCACTCAAACTTTTTGCAAACTATTCTATCCCGATGATATACGTTTTATCTTCGGGATGAAATCTAGCCAGACTTTCACTATAGCTGGACATGCATGGAACCACACAAAATCGAGAGCCTATTGATGTAAGATTTGGAATCCACCAAAGTCTACACACGGGTTGCTGATCGATTCTACGACTAACGGTTTATGCTTCTAACTTTCAGGGACTCTTCCTCGCATAGACAGTCGGTTGCAACACGAAAATGTAAGGGTTTGATTCTACAAACACTTAGAAAATCGCAGGAACAAGTGTTTAAAAGAGATACTCTTCAATAAACAATAAAATGGGTTTTTCTTAATAATTTCTTGGTAACTTTTACAATAGTATTAGTGAGTTTTTTATAGCTCTTACAAAATATGATTTTAATAAATACATTAAAATAAAATATTTAAACTTAAATAAAAAAAATTAATTAGAATGATCAAAGAGCTAGTTTTAAGGAATTTTTGATGTGAATGAGGATGGACCAAATATTGGAGGTTGACCACGCCTTTATGCTCTTTGAACACTGAAATATTATGGCTTAAAAATTGGCTTAGGAGGTGGGCGTTCTTCATGGGATGTTGGTTGACTAAGAAGAACAAATATGATAGAATTTTCCCGGAATATAACCAACTTGACCCGTTTTGGGAGATTGGGCATAACTTGAGAACCCCGTGGGCATAGTTTCTGATCTTGGGCTTGATGGAACCAGGAGAGACCAAGTAATAATCTCCAAGTGGTCTCGGGTCGAGATAGTGGCTTAGTTGGGCTGTGCAGTTCGATATCTGGCCTAGTCGCGAAGTTGACTCCGAAACAAGTCCACCTACTTGTAGGATCAATAACTTCCAAGTCTGAACCGGTATTAATATGAATCCAATTTTAGAACCTTCTATGTTGGACCAAGAGTTTATAACAATCCGGTTTGTAGCTTAGTTCCTCCTGCTCTGGTCGGAATCCTCCATTCAATGCGCATACGTCCGATTGGGTTAAGCTCGACATCACCGATTTTGTAAGCTGCATAACTTCTTCATCAGAATCGTGATTTGAATGATTCAAATTCGTCGTGAATTCTTGTTGAGTCAAGCTTCTGGAACATGTCGATTTGTTGTTTAACTCCTTCTGTTTGGCTAGACATGCTCTATCGAAGGCACATGTGTCCTGGTCGGACCCTTGGCAGCTAGAGTGGCATTTTAATGGATCTCTGGTTCAGCTACTGGTTTGATAATCGCATCACCTACACAGTTAAATCATGATATGAACTATCACAGAGTTTAAAATGTGCTCAGAAGTCGACTGAGATGACGGAACCAAGCATCACCTGCCTCCTGGGCCATGTTTTTGAAGATTCGAGCGCTTCCAAAACTTCAATACTTTATGTGGCTACTTGTCAGAGGCTTACTTTTCGACACCTAGGCACAGATAAAAGTTTCCCCTGCTGTAGAGACACATAGGAAACAATTAATCACATGATGTGTGAATGCCCCCTTGCTATGCAGGTGTGGGCTCTTTCAGTCTTTCTGTCCCTTCTCGGTTGCTTCCCGTGCTTATCCCTATATGGAAACCTAGATTTC